AAATTGGCCGAAAATTCTTCGCGTCATGGTCAGTCAGGCATCACCACACGTCGGGCGGTGAACTCTATAAGGGTCTATCCTAACTCCGTGAACGATTTTCGTCGACTTTCGTCTAATCAAAAGCTGAATTTTTGACAAACCAACTGAAACTAAATCGTGACCTTCATGTCGACCTATGTGGAATCTGCAAACACATCTCCACAGACGATATCCAAACCGAACTTGTTCACAAAGGCTTTGTCATCCGCGGCGTCCACCGAATGTCCAACGGTGGAAAAATCTGGCCTTTAGTGTCTGTTCGTCTGGACTTCGAACTTAGCAAGGTCTGCTACCTAAGCGTAAAGATTGAGCCAGAAGAGCCACTAAAAACATCCCCCAATGCTGTCTTTGCATGAAAATCTTCCACACGGCTAATTATTGACCGCAACCATATCACTGCCCAATACAAAGCAAAAGATCTCCCCAAAAATGTCATGGCAGAGATACCAGCTCCCCCCTCTCTCTCAAAAACATAATGCGTTCCAAAACACCTCTGCAACTTTTACTATAGAACAGAGAGTCCAGGTCTTCGTTCAAACGTTCGGCATCCTACAAACTTCCACCAATGTATATTACAGTCCACCTAAATAATCTTTGTATGGTTGCCTGGAATGCTCAAATATTAAAGGTAAATTGACTGAACTCAAACACTTCCTCGAGGATAAGTCAGTCGGTGTTGCCTACATCACCAAAACTCATTTGACACAGAAAATCAAACTTTTCGTCCCAAACTTCTCATCCTACAGAAATAACCGTGAAAACGGCGCTACCGGCGAAGTAGTCATTCTTATTAGGTACTCTTTAAAGCACAGTTCTATATAATTGACCACAAATTCCTTAGAAGCAGTCGGCATCGAAGTCTCGCTAACATCCGGCCCTCTTAGGATTATCCATCTATACTACCCCCCTTCAGATAGAAACCTTTCTGAACTCTTCCTCCTCCCAGGATTGTCGCAGGCAATTTCAACGCTAAACACGTCTTTTGGGACTGTAGACAAGCCAATAAAAAAGGCACCTCTTGCCATAGATCTCGACCTCAACCTCACAGTTGAATCCCTGACCCCACGTTCCTTCCTGCCACCCACAATAAATCCCCTGACATTCTCCACATTTTCGTCACAAAAACTGCTACCCTTCCAGCCGATCCTACATCTTTGACGCACTTAGCTCGAAAAATCTTCCATCCCTAATTGAGGTCGGTCGCCCACTCAACAACCCCCCAAACCCAACCACTTCACTAGACTGAATAAATCTGCTAAATCCTCGAAACATCTTCATGCAAGTGCACTCCAATTCTTACAATAACGGAACTTGACGAAGCTATAAATCTCCTTTCAAACGAGATTACCATTCAAAGGAAAAACCGAATCCGCCGCCTGTGGTAAAGACACCACGACTCCACACATCGCGAGGAACTTAACGCCCTCCAGCGAGAACTAAAACTCGCCTCACAGAAATCCGCAGCGCCTCTTTCGACGAATACAACGCCCTGGCAGAAACACACCTCAAAAGCACTTAAAAAGTGATCCACTCCGGAAAAATTAAGGGAGATGAAGATATGTGAAGGTACGCCAGTGCATACCCATTCCACCGCCCAAGTGTAACCACTATATTTTCACAGTCAACTTATTTACATCATTACGCACAAACAGCTGTTGCGAAGGTCACGAATAGGTATGTGTTTGTCAGTCAGTTGACGCTCGCGATAACGAAAGACAATAAGATAACGCAGCTGCAAAATTGTTAACTGTTCTCAATCATTGACAGTTCCTTAACCGGAGTACTTTTTACATCCTCTACGTTGTGGTACTATCATAATATGCACTCTGCGGTGCCTCCAGATGTTACCCTTTTAATATTCCAATATAAAAATCAGACATAGTGTATAAAAGCTAGAAAAATGTACAAAACAATAATAGCATATTTATACCTATAAACACTCACATCAAGTACACTCGCAATAAAAAAAAAATGAAAAACAAGACTTTACTTTTTAAAGGTTATACCTCAAGGAGATACCTTGTGTTGATGCCAATATTGACTCAATAATGACGATTAGCGAGGACAACCAAGATGCAGCATTCTCGCACGCACGATGTGTTACAGATGTTACAACAAAAACAAAAAAACTTAAATGAGAATAAAAAAAGCGAAGCTATACCTAGAATAAGGACGACGACCTATACCTAGAATAAGGACGACAACGGCAATCGATGAGTTTCTAGTGAATGTTTTCCGAAAATTGAAAGACACTAAACCAAAAAAAAATAGCTTCGTGTAGCCGAGACACACAATAATAAATAAGCGTCTTAAGCAATAGCTATAAATTGTCGGAAAATTGTTTAAAATATCGTCAAAGTTAAAAAAATCAGTTTTTTCAAAAACTTTGGATCGTGTGAAACCTTGTAGCAATTAACCTACAACCCACAAAAAATAAAAGCAATAATGAATAATCAACAGCTAGATGGAACACATGCCGACGTTATTTCTTATTGCTGTGACTGTTTCATATCGATTACAAAAATTGTGTCTACAATTGTTAAACAAATATTTATACAGTTTGTTCTTGGTAGTGAATATAAGATCTTTTTTTTAAGCAAAAAATTTTAATATTTCTGCTTATTGTGTGATTGTTACTTTATACTATTTACAATACTGTAGAATTTTAATAGTCAATCTAAACTGCTTTTTTTGAAGTAAAAGCTTATATTTGTATCTATCGTGTGATAGTCGCTGCAAATAATAATAGCAAAATGTAACATATATATGTAAAAGTAGTAATGAAAGCCCACCAACTTGCGATAAATATATGAATAAAAGTGCTGTAACTGAGAAAGACAAAACCCTGGATAGCAAATGAGATTTTAGGATTAATACCTAGAAGAAAGGCGGAAATACAAAAACAGGACAGGCGAAGAAGGGCAAAAAAGATATAAGGCTATAAAGTGGGAAATAATTAGGAAATGCATGGTAGCTAAGGAACAGTGGATTGATAGGATGTTTAAAGAAGTACAAGAGAAGTTCGAAGTAGGTAAAACCGTTGAGGCATATAATATAATCAAGAGCAATTTTAGAGATGTAGGGTACAGCAGTAATAAAATAACAAACGAGGCAAGGCTCATTTTGATAGAAAATGAGGAAAAGACAGAAAGGTAGAAAGAATATTTAGAGAACCTTTACGCAGGCCATGAGTTAGAAGAGAAGAAAGATAGTGTGCAGGTAGATGAGCTAGGTCATCCCATAATGAGAGAAGAATTCGATGTAGTATTACCTTCTCAGGCATGAAGGTCTAGTCAGAGACATATTAGAGGCAGAAACGAAAGTTAGGAGGGGTAGAGGCAGACTTAGTTTAGATTACTTACAAATAGTTAAGGATACGGGTTGTTCTAGTTTTAGGGAAATGCGCAGATTAGCTCAGGATAGGAAAGAGTGGAGGTGCGTGTCCAACCAGTCTTAGGACTGACGACCTTATGATGATGATGAACTGAGGTAGGTCTTGGTGAATTTAATGTAAGTTTATCTTCAGTATATTATATTGTTACTTATAAGGAGTTGTGTGAAAAAGAATGCGGGAGATTGTAGCGTAGGGCTTGCCAAATTTGTATTCATAGATGTAAGAAGAAATAGATATGTTCGTATATCAGAAGGGAATCAAAGTGAAATACAAGACGTTAGGGGAACCGAGAACCGATTACACTTTGACTCCCTTACTTATTTGTACCGCATGTTTGATTTGTACATGCACACAAACGTTTTCATCCTGATAAGTATAAGTTGTAACGCAAATATCCATGCATATATTACTTTATTAACACAATTTTCAGAGATGGGTATTGACGACATGGTCGTTTCCTCTCTTTCTAGAGTGGTCAATTTCATGAGGGTAAACTTAACTTTTGGGTGTTTCATTCCCACCAGCCACTAATGCTGGTGGGCGAGCAGTCCCTCCGGACTATGCCGGAAGGTAGGGCGGAAAGCCCTCTTCAGCCTGCTTTCAGGAATCGTGGGAATGGGTGGGTGGTGGTTCGGGTGAGAAAGTTGAGACGGACGAAATGAAGACATAAGAGAGTGAAAGATTATCTGTGGAATATTACTGCCTCAGCATTTGCCTAAGTGATCCAAGGAAACCACAGAAAAACTTGGACCAAGGCAGACGGACCCGGAATCGAACCGGCGTCCTCCCGAATGCTAAGCAATGGTCAAGACCTCTAGGCCATGCCGCTCGGTATGAGAATGAGGGTAATGCTCATTGCTCTATATATGGCAATAACAGATAATACGGATTCGTAAGCAAGGGAACCAAAGTGGAATCGGTCCCTTTGGCGCCTTGTAAGTGGAATCGGCCCCCCTAGCTTCTTTTTAGATACTGTTGGTGCCTAGAGGCGTTTCGTTAGTGACTATGCGGTATATATTCCCTATACCGTTTTAGTACATTACGCGTAAAGATGGACAATAAGTTGTTAGCATCATGCAGCTGATACTGTACGCGTTATGGATTACGGACTTTACATATTGTCAGTACATTGTACTATTCGTCATGGTGATCAAAAATATATACGTATATGAAGCACGGAAATCACGTCTTCGCCTTCATTTTCGGGTTTTTTGCTAATTATTATCTAGTAACTGACCACCACATGACAAAATTAACCAGTATCAAGCGATTCCCTATCGATCTATATAATTTATTTTGGTGAAAGGTTATTATTTAGAATTACTTCAGCTACAAACGATTGCAATCACTTTTAGAGCAATATTTCTATTTTGTCGATTAGCATCAGACGGTTGATTACTCAATTCCTCTTGCTTCAAATCATGGTGTTATATTATTTGTAAAATATTTAAATAACAATGAACTCTTATGCCATACTCTATACCATAGATAATTCATAATTAATCTGCTCTGTAATCTGCCGATAATCTATGCCTTCGTATGCTGATTACTTACTTACCCTTTGTGTATCTATTATCTATGACTTACTCATAACCTAAAAAAACATATCGGTTCGTTATCAATCAAAAGTCATAAAAATGTAAAGTGTAACGGTTGTTTCCCTTATTCATCAATGTGTTTTACTTAAAAAAACTAAATTCTAAAATGCAACACGAAAAACCAGATAATAATTTTGACATAAATTCTATTATAAGTGCATTTGAGTGTGATGCTTTTCAAAACACTTTTAGTACCTGCAGAAGAATTGATATCTCAAAGGCAGGATTATCCAGTCAATTGGATGATGTTATTTTATGGTTAAATAATGGCTTTACACCAATGACTCTAACTACCTTAGAATCCTGCACTTTGGAGGAGGTACAGAACTGTATAGCCAAAATCGCCTACATCTTGATAAAATTCACTGACATAAAAAACGTGTTTCAAAAAGCTCTGAAAAATAACCAAAACAAAAATAATTCAGTTTACATATTTAACTGCAAAGTGTGCAATGAAAATATTAAAATTCCAAAAGGTGTAAATTTTTGGACTGCTCTTCAAAATCATGAACATATTGAAGAAGCGTTAGCATTTATGAAGAATATGAAACAGCCAGTTAATTCAGCTTGGCATAATCAACTTTTTAATGAAAGCAATTTAGTCTTTGAAGAAGTAAATAATCAACAGAATGAAGAAAATAACATCTTTTTGCAACAAATTAACAGATGTATAGTAAAAAGATCAGTGAATGAAAATTCTCAATTAGATAATGAAGAGAAATATTGTAAACAAATTAGCAATATTGAAAATGAAAAGTACATGAGATATGATAATGGAAATTTTATCTTCAAATTTAATATTGACTATGATGAACAAATTAAAAAACGAATCTATCCAAGAAGTTTATTGGAGAAGGTATTATACATATATTTTAATGTGCATTGTTTATTACAAAAGTGATTTTAATTTCTTTAGGTAAACAACATCGATTTACTTAATGCTTGCACGGTACAACGAAGAGGTCCTGACTGTGTGTTCTGCTTACTTTGTCAACGTGAGGTACCATTTCATTCTACTTTTAAAGCTGTTTTTGAACATGCATCAGGTCATAAACATAGTCTAAATGCAAAAAAGAAAAAAATGATAGATGCTTTACAAAAGTATCATGAGGTATGGATGAGACAAGATTTGGAATACCAATCACATCAGACACATTTTTTGCCTTATACAGTTGAAATGACTAGCTGTCTTCTATGCTCTCAGTTTGTGCATTATAATAACTTGATAACCCACATTGAAGATAAAAGTCACAAGAGTTTAATTCTTCAACTTCAAAGAGCAAAAAGAAGAAACATTGTGTACTTGACTGAATTACAAATCACTGTCTATAACCAAGAAAATGTAAGCTATTACTTTTCTTACACTTTTAAATTGTTTAATTCGTTTTACTTTACCTTTACTTAGAATGGACTTGATCAAGTAGATCAATCTAACCAAAATTCAGAACGTTTACATGGAAGAGTTCAAGTTCCTGATGAGGATACTGCTTCTGAAAGTGAAAGTTCATCATCAGTAAATATAAAAAATACAAATTGTGAAAATTGTAACAATATTGAAGCTCTTTCCATTGGAAACAATTTAATAATTAATAATTTACCTCCAACTAAGCCAAAACATCTAATAGTTAAGGCAATTCTTAAAAATGACAGTAAAGATATTGGAGATTTACTAGAAAATCGTTATCTGAACCATCTCAATGTCATCAAACAAGAAAAAAACATTATTACTTGCACAACATGTAAAGTTAGTTTTAACTTAAACATGCCTCAACTGCATCAGCATATATTAAGTCAAATTCATAGAAATCTAACTGGAATACCGATACCATCATATAGATATCAGTGTGACATTTGTAATACTATTTTCCGGAAGCAGGAACATTGGACTGAACATTTGAAACAAGTACTGCACCGTGAAAGGTAAAAATTAAGAAGTATTAATTTTAGTTTTTATCTTGTAATTTTCACTGTAAAAAATACTTCTTCACTTATTTTTTTGAAGATGTCGAAATGTGGAGTCATCAACAAACAGTGCCTTAATAGAATATGAATGTAAAACATGCAGAGTTGTAATATTTGGCGATGACATTTCAAAGCAAACGCATGAACAATTAAAAGTGCGCAAATTGAGAGAGAAAGGTAATTATTTATTTTCTAAAAAAAAGACGACTACATTTTTTGTATTATACGTTCTTTTTTAACAGAAGTGTTTCCTTAGAAACGCGATGTCAAAATTTTTTATACTTAGTAAACAATTAAAATCTCCAAAGTGTTAACATAGTAATAATTATTAACAGGATGTATTTTGAAGAAGGTACTAATTATAACAAATGACTATAGTAAAGTGATTATTATTGATAAAGTATTATTTTTTCAGATATAGTTTTAAACGATAAAGCAAAATTGTTACTGCAGTCGGAGGCGCATATCGCACAAGAATCGATTAAAATGATTGTGGCTGCCTCAAAAGTCTTGGATCATCTGGATGAGGTAAATTATTGTTGTGCACGAATAGAGCAAGTCCTTTCTGAAGATCTGGGAATAAAATGCAAAGCTTATCCTTTTGGATCACGCATCTCGGGACTTACATGTGACGAAGTAAGATGCACAATTATTTTCCAAAAATAATAAGTTACTTTTAACTTGCTGTTTTCATTTACTTTATATATTGACTTGACAGAGTTTTACTTCGTGGGTCTGCATGTATGAAATACTTTTGTTAAGAAAAATTATTTCGTCTACTTTAGGTCATTTTTTACAAACTATGAGTGTTGCATTCAAAATTCTTTACTTCATACCCTTAACCAAATGCCCTCACCGTGCGTTTTATGCAGTGTTCTAAATCATGTCTGTCAAGGGGAAGGGAAAGAAGCGCACACTTTTTATGGATATTTTTTAAAAATATTTTGATAAAAAAAGTGAAACAGAAATAAGTGGTTTATAAGTAAGTGATTGTGAAGAAAATACCTTTAAATGGGAACTTTTGAATTTTTGAAGAGTTAAAAGAATGAAATAGTAACGACTAATGGATATATCTTTATTAGAACGAATGTATCTAACCTAATACAACACAATTAACCTACATACGTGAAGTGTACCAGCAATTTAATAATTATTTTTTGTATACCTGAGTCTGTAAATGAAATAAAACATGGTAATAATCACAAAATAATAAATAATGACCACATCGAAACTTGGGAAACCCCTGTGTGAGCCCGTGAGCTAAAAGAGTACATTGACATAAAATAAATAAATATATGCAGTACTCTCTGGCCAGTTTCTATAAGTGGTAGCTGTTCCGACAAAGTGAAACAGTTACTCTCTCGTTTTCCCTATCTTTCCTCACCGTTTGTGCCATTACATTTGCATTGTGCTGTTATATAAAAATTTCTCAAGCATGCGCACCATGGATAAGGTGTCTCCGAGGAGAGAGAGAATAAATATAGTTGGCACCGTAATGACAGCATTTTCCTATACCAACTGGTCATATAGGGGTATTGGATGTATGTATTACGTTGATCACTTGTTGGTCAAATTAAAAGAACAAGTACCAATCAAGGCAAACGTAAATAAATGTATAGATTATAGAATTTAAGATTTCGTGTGTATGCAATAATAATTGTTGGCAAGAGCAATTTGTCTTTTACATGTTGATAGATACGAAAATAATAGAATCGACAGACGTACGTGTGTAACTGTCGTTGGCGGTATGTACCATAGACATATATTAATGGGCGTGCCTTAGCCGTATGTCATTGTAATAATTTCTTGGCTCGAAAAGTGAGGGAAATGACGTATAGTTTCGGACTAGTGCTATCTCTTTCATGACACGCTTACGCACTATCATGAAAGAGATGGATATTGTCCGAAACTTCGTTCCATCTCATTCTTTTGTTGTACTACAATTCTGACCGCTAAGGCATGTCCATTAGGAAACGTCGGTGTGTACCTAAAAGCAAGGATAACTTGTAAATGGTAGCGAATGTCTCAACTTTTGTTTAAAATGAACATGGAAATAATTTGACTCGATCTCCTCTAGCCTAAATTATAAATATTATGTCCCTTGTGTTTCCGTTTTCACGTTTCGTGTGCTGTCCTGAGATTTCGTTACTTTTTCAAACCTATTCCTAATATTTACGACCTCAATAAACAAAACTGTTCTTTTCAGAACAAATTACTGATTCTTTTGCTTGCTTTCCATTTATCTATGGTCGTACACTTTAGTTATCTATAGAATTTAAATTTTGAAGAAATTAAAGTAAAACTTCATTTGACTCCAAAGTTGTTGATTGATTGCTACAATTTGGAAGTATAACCGCATGCAATCTTAGATTTTATACAGTAGTGCTAGTCTATTTCTAAGCGTATTCGGTTTCTATTAGAAACTGCTACCAGCAGGATCGATTGTAGCCGATAATATACTGTAATGTTCGTGGGTTTAACAAATTACCTTTTAAGACTCACAACGATAAAAACTATTTATTTACAGTAATTATTATTAAAGGACTTTTATTTAATTATTTCTAACTTAGGTGATGAATTACTCTATTTATTTACAGTACTGTTACTATATCACTATTCACTGCGCTGTCAATTTATTTCTAGATTCACTTCTGGAACGGTCTATTTATTTCTCCTCTCCTTGGCGATCGTCTCTTCCTTTAAATACTCTTTGGTCTCTTTTCGGGAACATTCTCGAGCCGTCCGGAAAAAATTCTTTTTCACTGAACTGTTTCATTGCTTTCCGAGAACGCAGGTACGACACACATATTTACAAATACGGCGCACATGAAGAAAGGCGTCCGCGGCTAGTCGGCAAATCGATAAGCCGCTCTCACACGTATGCCCGATCGCACACAAATAGGCTCGTGCTCTCTACAATACTAATACTTATGTATATACACATACATTGTATATAAATAAACTCACAGGTTGTATTTTTAAGTTAAACGATGCCAGTCTAAAGAAAACTTCTTCGAATTAGTTTATATGAAGACTTCGTATTTATTCAAATATTATGTTACATAGTCCTGCTGTCAGCAACTTGAATAAAGAATAGAAACCACGGTAAAATCACAACGGTATGTCATTGCGCATCTATAATAAGATATGAATATTGTTCTGGCTGTCACGTCATTTTGAAGCGATAGTTGGAGTTGTTGTGTTCAAACCTTCGAAGGTTCAAACGTTCCAGTTTAGTAAATTACAAGAACTGGTAAGTTCGAAATTGTGGGCGCAGTAATTTGTTGGATTGATATGCGGTTAAAATATTATTTGTTGACTTATAGTCCAAGCAATAGATGTAAAGATATAGTAAATAAAACACTGTTATTTACTTAGGAAGTGCCTCCGCTACCGGAACGGTTTCCTCAAATTGAATTAATGACTGCTGGTACGGCTCTTTACATTAGAAGAGATAAAGCAATGGTTCAATGAGAAATGTTTTTCAGAAATCTGATTTATCCATTTCGAGATGTTTTGAAAAACTAAGAATTTTCATCAATAGCTCGATAGCGCCGAACTGCTTTTAAACATTCTCGTTTCTCAAGCCACTTTTTAAGACAAATTTTTTGGTGTGAACAGGAACTTCCGATTTTCACTGTCTCCAAGCGCTGTTTCTAGTTTTTCTTATGGTGGCCATATTCAATCCTTGGTTCTCAATAAGTACTTTTCAATAATGTGTAGCATGCCTACTAAATTTATATTTATATGGAAAATATAAACCAAAATAAAATTAACTTTAATTTCAGTTTCTTTCATGTTAGAGTTAATTTTATTTTTGATTCATATCCTTCATATAAATAAAAATTTATCAGGCATGCTGTACATAATTAAAAAGCTCTTATTAAGAATTATCTAACTAATCAAGAATTAGTTATAAACGCCATAAGTAAAACAAAAGTAGCTCAATATGGAAAAGGACACAATGAGTTTGAGATGTTGTGAGCATCGAAATGTGGGCACACTATATAACCTCGAAAAATTTTGAAATTTATTTTTTTTATTTTACTGGTATATCTTGTTAATTGTTTATTATTTTCGATTTATGATGTTCCCAGAGGTTTGTTGTTAAAACTCATTTATAAGTATTTTTTTCTGAGTAGGTAATAGAGCAAACAGACATTACTTATTTTCTGAGTAATAAAATTGTTGGGTTGAAGTAGTAGATAGATATGTACTTTGAACGTATGCATACTTGCTAACTTCCCAATTTGCAGGTATCAGGTGCTAAAGGTGCGTAAAAATATTACACGCTTTTCTTAAAGTTTAAGTATTGAGTTTTTCTTAATGTTTAATAGAATACTGTTAAAAATTAGTTAATAACACTGCCAGACGCTTCAAAGTTCGCAAAAGAAAACATAATTTTACGTAGTATGATTTTCAATATTTCAATACTTTTTGTAAGCAGCCAATCATTTGCAAGGGTCAAACATCCAGCGGACAAAATTAAAATGTCATTGTGTCGTTGAATCATCTATTTATCGCGCTTGCGCTTGTACTCAAAGCGACATTTTAATTGTGTCTGAGAGATGTTTGATCCGTACAATTGAGCTGGCTGTTTACAAAAAGTAATGAAATAATTCCTTAAGTATCATACGTAAAAATGAAGACTCAGACAATAAGTAAAATTACGATTTCTTTTACGAACTTTGAAGCGTCTGGCAGAAATTACCGTCGATTGGAAGTGCTTGACAGTGTTGTTAACTAACTTTTAACAATATTCTGTGAAATATTATGTAAAAATCAGCTCTCAAACTTTAATAAAAGCGATAATGTTTTTCCTTACCTTTAACACCTGTAAATTCGCCCTCAGCCCAAGATAGCAGGTATGCGTACGTTTAAATTATACTCATTTTGTTACTCAGAAAATAAACAATGTCTGGCGGCTCTTGAAGTATAATAATAATAATAAAATGTAATTAATTTTTCAATTAACAACATTTAACCATAAAAAAGATGTTGATTTAGGTATGAAATATGATCTGATTGACAGCCCCTAAATATTTCATTCCAGTTTTTTTCATCTTTTTTCTGTTATTGCAGGATGGAACTGCACACAACACCATTCCTAACGATATATCATCATATATCATTTAACACTTTAGGACGAACTTTTATTTACATTCACTTCACTTCACTATCCATACTTTTTACTGTGGTCCCCACACAACAGAATAGTATAACACTTTCAGCAACTCCGTACTGTATCTCGTCTTAAAATGGCGTTAAAATGTTCCGTGCGATATCGATTCCGGTCGGCAGTATAGTACTCCATAGTAGAAACCGAATACGCTTAAAATTTAAGTTCATTCCACGTAGATGTTTTCATACGCAGAACACCCTCAGCCGTAGAGATGACACAGCCTACTCCGATTTTTTCTTTTATATTTATAGAATAGTGATTTGGATGTATTTGTTGATCTCGGCGGCATGTACAATGGGGCATGTTTTCAAGATGCAAAACATCAAGAGGAATTTGTAAAAAGATGCGCAAAAGTATTTCGTAAACGATCATCAGAATTCACGGACATAAACTCTATACCGACAGCACGCACCCCTATCGTTCAGGTGTATCACAAATTAACCAACATCGACTGCGATCTCTCCTTCAAAAACGGACTCAGTGTCGAAAACACAAAATTTTTAAAGTAAGTTGTAATTATCGTAATTTTTTATGTTACATTATGCATACACATCTACAAAGGTGCACGTGAGTTTTATTATCTCCTATTTTTGTCTGTTAGTATTAACACTAGTCTAATTATAATTTAAATAAGTATCACAAAGGGTCTCGCCGGGTTTCCATATGAAATCTGCACTGGCTTCTTTTTGAGATTAGTGACTTTAATATATTACTAGTTGTTGAAAATATTTTTTGTCCAATTATCAAACCCCTAACTTTTTTTCGGAAAATGGGAATAGGACTAAAGGTTGTTGCTCACATGTTGCATCAATAATTTATTATTTGTCACATGGCCGTTACAAATCGAAAATCATCAAGTCCGCTGAAATATTAACACATATATTTGATGTTACAAATACTACTATACTACTATAGAAGAAAATAGTGACGAAGATTAAAATATTTCAATATTTTTATATGGAAAATAATAGATATTAATATTTTATCAAAAATGCTGTTTTTATTTTAATTTAGGTGGCTTTTATTGGATCAGCTAGAATTTAATATGTGCCTGCTTACATAGAATTTGGACTTTTTAAATATGTTCCACCCATCACACATCTATGTAATTGTTACATATTATAGTTGGCTAAGTACTGATTATATGTTTTTTTTTTGGTAGTTGTACCTCAGGAAATAGCCACTAAAAAACACCCCTATTTTGTAAATATATTTTTTTGCAGTCTTATAGTTATTTGGAAAATTATAAAAAAAATATATAATGTAAAGCTAATTAAGAGCTTTCATGTCGCGTTGGTTTCATTCGAATAGCTATCATAGTTTCGTAGAAAAATAATTTTGATGTTACGGGATGCAACCCCCATTTTCCAAAAACGAATGAAGTTACAGGTTTGATAATTGGGCAAAAATTATTTTCAACAACTAGTAATTTAAAGGCATCAATGTCAAAAAAGACGCCAGTGCAGATTTCATATGGAAACCCGGCGAGACCCTTTGGTGTATGAAGCTTGTGTTCTACAACAAGCTAGATTGTGCTGACAGATGCCAAACAACGCCCAGATTGAAAAGAGTAAACTATAAAAAGTATCACAAATTGGGCCTATGTGAAATTCTGCGGAAACTCGCCTTACAATTTAACGTCTTCATTCTCTGCCTTTATCCAGACAGCTTCTGATTTTCCAAATAACATTATCGTCTTTAATACTTCTACAATCACTTAATTTCACCTCAGTAATGTGTCTGTAAATATATACAGGGTGTTTTCAATATAAGTAGCAAGTTTGTAGAAAGTGATAAGGCACTACAAAACAAGAAAATTAAGTAAATTTTTGGTGGTTCGAATGTCCACCGTTTTCGAGGAAAACATATTTGAAAGTACAGACAAGGATCAATCCGGCCCTGGTAGGATCACGCAGGAAAATACGACAATGCAACGCCGCATTCAATTAGCTGGTACTTAGCAGCATCCGTATTGTATTTCTTTTGGTTTTTGTACTCATATATTGTTTGTTATTTGTCAGATTAGATTAAATGTAAATGCCGATGTTTATATTTACAGCCAGCTTAGAGTAGTTCATTGTCCTTTTAAAATTGTAGAAGTAGGTCAGTGCAGAGTATTATTGCAGTAATAGTAAGCTGTTGACATTTACTTTATTAGTCTTTCCACAACCGTCACTGTTTACATTTAGTTGTTGTAATTTCTGTATACATTGCCACTTCACACCCAGGGCTGGCTTCGAATTACTACTTCGTCTGCTTTTCTTTCATTTTTTTGTCCCTTAACTGCTTTACTCACCATGTTATTCCCTGCTGCATCTAGTTAATACCCTCCAAAGCACGCTACTTATTTCAGAAACACCCTGTGTAGTCATCTAATTTTCTATCAAATGACTAGTAGAGAAATGTGCAGAGCCTGATTAGTACATATTACAGCTGCAAAATTAAAGCACTCTTTCTGAATTAGCATATTTTATCACTAAAAGATATTGTTACGTACTTTTCCGGTTTTGCGAGTCCCAAAGCCTATATCTACTGGGGTAATATCCAATGAAGATGCATTTCTGTGGTCGAAAATGTAATTTTTCTTGCAGAAGTTGCTTGAGAATCGTCAAGAATGCAATAAAGCCAAATATTTTGAGGTAATTGTTTGCTTTAGCAGTTACATCTCCGATGGCCTTGAATTTTTAAGTGTGTTGTAGAGGTGATTATGCTGTTCATTCAAGTTGGGCAGGGAAATCATAGTGAAGCATAGTTTTAGAACGTTGAAAAATAATAACAATACGGTACCTACACTATTTCGCAGGTCATAAAGGTCAATCAGTTTGATCACCTCATTTTTTTTTCATTCTCTGTTATTAACAATTTTAAAAATATTATTTAACAAATACCTCTACACTTAAATGCGTATTAACTATTTTATTGTTTATTTCATATCAAAACCTTTGAATGGTTATTCAAATCTTTTACATTCAAATCATACATTTACTAATATACGAACTCTACGAAACGATAACAATTTAGAAATGTCGCTAATGTACAAGACCTCACTCCAATCTTTTCTTAATGAGAACATTTATATATTTTTATTAACTAATTCATCATACATATAGTATTGGAAAATTTTGCATGTCAATGAAAACTTCATTTGCTACAATAAATTCATAAAAATATTTAAAATTTTTTAGGACATGCCTAAATTTTTATTCTCACAGTGAAATAACTGTGATTGTTATTTTTTTTGTCATAAACGATTTAAAACAGTTTTTCTTTTTGATAACATCAATTATTACAGTCTGGTTCCTCTCGCAACTCGTAATTCTTACGCTTACTACCCTGGTATTGTTTGGGGGTCCCAGTGCATGCGCACAACTATCTATTCTTAATAATTGACCTTGAAAAAGTTTAATGCTTAATAAGAATTTTTCTATTGCTGACTAATTAATTAAACCGATTGACCGTTTATTACCATTTTTTGACCTTTCATATTGTATAATTGGTCAAACCAAATTCCACATATTAGGTGTTAAGATTGCGGGCCCCCGTATTGTTATTGTTTTTCAACGTTCGAAAACTATGCTTAATTATAATTTCTGCGCCCAACATATATATATATATATGAAACTGATCAGTATAATCATCTCTACAACATACTAAAAATTCAAGGTCGTTGGAGCTGTGATTGCTAAACTACCCAATTACCTATTTTGATTTATTAAGTAAGCAGCGGTTTTGGAACGCTTCAGACCATTAGATATGGCTGAGTTTAGAGTTGAGCATCATACATCGTGCTTTGTCAAAGATGGTGTGATTCATCTTCTCTGCTACCCCATTTTCGAATTTTATGCAGTAACCATTCATTTCTACTTTTCGAACTGAAAGTAGGTTGTATTCGAGATTCGGTACCGAGAGAACATTTCTTACAGCAAGAAAATTTCCATTTTCATTGACAAAACTTGAAAATTTAATATCTCCAACTTTTTCCACCAGTAGAAAAGTTCCAGGGTTAGCAGCCTTTATTTTTATTGGCTCTTCTAGTTGTTTCGTAACAATCATAGAAATATTATTGTTCGTCAGATGCTCTGAGGCGCCTGAATCGAAAAAAAAAATTATTTCGTGGTCTGAACTTTCTCCGATAAAAGCTGAAAAACGTAAACCACTAGAGTTACTTTGTTTATCATCTTCTGTTATTGCATTTGCACAATTTTGATATTTGTTTTTCGTATGCTCTTTTACGACAGACTACCATTTAGTAGTCAATTTTCCCACAATTAACGAGAATGTCGTTTTTTTCATTAAAGTTCATAGTTAAAAGTGTAGTCAGTAGTTGTCTAGCGATTCACAATATTTTCATTACGTAAAATGCTGTTTCTTTGTCCTTCGCATATTCGCATATAATAGCTAACAGCAATTTTTAGGATTACTTGAGATTTGCATTTTCGATCTTTCTTATGTTCTGCTAGTTCTCTTTCCTTTTGCCTACGATTCTGTTCTGTTTCGTTATCTTATAATTTTCCGTTCCCATCGAATAAAGGAGCACTTCGTCGTTTTATCAACTTCAATGATTAAACTACCTCATTCAATCATAAAACGCAATTGTTCCATACTAAAATATCTATTCTTTAGCCTACCAGTATGTCAAGTCGTACTCTTTAATAACTATTTACATTTGTCACCATTATATTGTAAATGCAAATGAGTTCTTTTATTTACCTAGAACAAGTGTTATAGACACGTATATTTTTTTACAGGTTCTGTGTTCTAGTGCAACCAGCTGCGCAATCGCTCATTTTATATTTAAAGGAATGGTCAAAGGTCACGAAAATGAATGAGCGTATTACAACATACGCGGTAGCAATGATGGCAATATTTTTCTTACAAATGAACAGTTATTTGTTACCGGTCGAAATACTGAAACGTCTTATGAGTAATGCAGTAGTTCATATAGACGGTAAATTTCGTATTTGTAATTATTTTTAACATTCCAAATACACTTCTCGAGTCTTGCTTTTAGGGTGGGAAGCAATAGATCTTTCTGATCCGTTTTACCAACTTTCGAAGATCCCTAAACATAATTTGACTATACCTATAAAAACTTTACTAATGAATTTCTTCGAATTTTATGCTTCCTTCGATTTCAAAAAAATGGTAAGATTAAATACCAAGCGAATAATAAAGGTTTTTATTCTACTTTTCCTATTACAGGTCGTTTGTCCATTACTGGGTAAACCGGTTCCTAAGGCATCTTTCATTGAAAAGTCGAATGGCGAATGTTTACCTGCAGAAATGTTACCGTATATTACCAAACTAAAATGTTCGGATGATGCGGAGGTGTTTCGAGCTCTTTCGCCTTTATGCATCCAAGATCCTTTTGACCTGTCCCACAATTTGACTAAAGCTTGTAGTAATGACACGGCGACAAAATTAAAAAGACTTTTCGCCCTTTCGCACAAGCATCTTCAACAACAGGCAACATAGTATACAGAGAAAAGATAATTTTACGATATTTTTCTTTTTTTTTTAATTAATTTTCGTTGGTTTATTTAATGGAATATGTTACTGATACAATGTAGCGCAGAATCGATCCCAACCGACATAGGAATAACTAGAAAACTTTTCTGACTACTTTGCGATTAAATGTTTTTGATTTACTATTGAGATATAAAAGCGTTTTTGTTTTTTTCCTTTTGTATTCGACAAACATTCAAATTATTTATTTGATTTATAAGGTTTACTTTGTGTGGTCGTTGTTTCATTTTACAAAAATAACAGTTTGCTAATATAAATTAATTTTTTCAAAGAAACGCATAACTGACAAATTACGTTGATATTTGAAACATTTTGTTTCAAATTTATTACTAAATATTTTTATTTTTTGCAAAGATTATCTAATCAGTGAGGTTAGTTAATCTTTTTTTGAATTGATACGAGCAACTTTTAAAAATTACTGCGTTTCCACTGAATTTTGAAAAGAGCGCAAAAAGATATTGGTATTTTCTTCATATCTCGTAACATTCAATTGCTTCGGTGAAGATAAACAAAGTTAGCAAATGCTTATGCTATTAAAATATGTGTACAGTTAATATACTATGTAAAATTAAGTATGTAGTTAATTAAAAATTTACAACAAATTAGTTTTTCGATTTTACATATACTACATGCTTATCTGTAATACTGTATAGCACCCATGAAATTATTGCAAATGTGGTCTATACATCAGGTAGACGTCAGGGGATGGAGCCGAAAGAATAGAGTTGACATATCAACTTAACAAGACAGAATTGGTGAAACGGTCTAGTAACCAAGTTAAACAGTTAGAAGAACTTCTTAGCCGTTCACCTGATGCAATAGGATGAGTAAAACAACGTATTTGAAGGACAAAAGAAATTGTAAGAAAACTAAACGAAGTTGCAACATATAGAGAAATAACAGCTAAGCAGCTACATCGATGAAGAATATAAACATTGACGGTTGTGGAACGAATATTAAAGTAAATATCGTCAATTATACTTAATTTAATCTAACAAATACACGGGGAGAAAAATGCAAGAGAAATACACTACGTATGCGCTCTAAGTAACAGCTGATTAAATGCGCCGTTATAATGTATTTTCCTGTGTGACCCTATCACAGCAGGACTGGTCCTTCCATGTACTACTCAAATACGGAAGAAATTAAGACTGACCCAGACAAAACATGCTATAGGAGATTCATGCATTTGCCAATATAGACTTATAAAAGATGGAGTTTCATTCTAATGGACATCCGAAAACTTGAAGATTACACTATCTGAAGAGCTAATCTTGATATACCCACAGTTTAACGAACCCTTCATCGTTGATGTCGACTTAGTAGTGTAAGAATTGGTGGTAAATCCTAAGTTCAAGACGGAATTAAAAAGGTCATCGGCTACTTTAGTAAAACATTCTCGAAGCAGAAACGAAGCTATTGTGTCACCTGTCAAGAGCTACTGGCTGTAGTTAAAATCCTTAAGAATTTCTATAAATACTTGTATGGACTACTTAAGAATCGATCACGCCTCGCTGAAGTAGTAACTGCAGGGCAGATTGCACACTGGTTACAACGACCACACGAGTAGGAGTTCAATGTAGAACACCGCCCAAGCAAAACAACACGGTAATGTATATGCACTATCCCATAGATGTTGCACTGAAAATTGAAAACATTCATGTGAGGAGAAGAAAGAAGGATTAACGTCGATGTGTTGTAATCTAACCACTGTTCAACCTGACGGATCCTGGATAGATAGCGAATTAATCGAAGATCAGATGAAGGACAAAGATATTGGCCCAGCCAGGAGATGGAAGGAATTCGGCACCTCAAAACCATCGTGGACAGATGTGAGCCATGTTAAAGAGACAAAATAAAAAGTTATTAAGTTCAGTGGAATTCTCTTACTTAAACCGCAGCATTTTAAAAAGAATGTGGAAGAGACACAAGCTTCAAGTGGTACCTATTTTCAAAGAATAGTGACAGAAGTCTTGAAAGCAATCCATGACAAAGGACAGTTCGACATTATGAAGACTCTAGGGAAGATACGCGAGCGATTTTATTGGCTACAAAGAAGACTGGTGCAAGAAAATTCCTACATGCGCCACCAGTAAAGGACCAAAGATGAGAAGTCATGAACAAATGCAACAGTACAATCTGGGAACGTCATTTGCTTATCTTTAGCTGGACACGAATTTCACTAAACTAATGGGCATTAAAAAAATGGGAACTACGCCTTTACATTCACACTTTAATATAATGGTTGAACGTTTTAACGGTACTCTGAAGACTAACTTAAGAAACTTCGTCAACAACCACCAAACTGACTCGAACCAATATACACCCCTGTTCCTCTTAGCCATGAGACAACTGGAAGAAGATGATCTTATGAAGGCCAGATACGATTAACGGTACAACTTTGTTGGCATTAATGAAGGCGACAAGATGTAGCTATATAATCCATGAAGACGGAAGGGTGTTGTGATTGACCACTTAACCTGACCTGTCACCTAACCTATATATACACACTCATATCTCGACCAGCCGATACGCAAGCAGAAGAAGCCGTTAAGGCATGGATTAAAAAGGATTTGGAGGTATAATCGTTTATCGGACTGAATGTCAATAGCAACATTGCCAGAAAAATTACGTCATGCAAGTCAGCAAACGACGTTACAAAAACTATCAAATCATTATGGCAAAAAGTCCCATTTCTCGCTGGAGGGTCTACAACAAAAACTCTTTGGCTACGGGTTTGACAATAGGAAATCAACTGTCGTATAATTGTTTAGAAATACAACAAATTGCTGAAGAACTCGCAACGGTAGGTGAGAGAGCCAGAAACAACCGGATTCGAGATCGAGATTCGAGAAGTGACAGTCGCAACTTTTGCTAGCAGAACGTGGTTTCGATTCACGGATTGATGTAAAGAAACTAAAGTCATTTAGAGCGGCCTGTTATGTACTGACACCGGAACACAAAAGAGGCAAGCTGGACAGGAAATCCAGGAAAGGCATTTTTGTCGGGTACGACTTGGACTCTCCATGTTACAGAATCTACCTGCCAGACGAAAGGGACGTTATAAGCTCGGATAACGTTATATTTAGTGTCAAGACCACGAATTAGACTTCGAATCAGCTATCACCGAGAGGAAAGAGTACCTATCAGTCAGTTGAAGACGAGGAAGAAGAAATCGTGCAAGAAGTTAGTGCCCAACCAAACGAACAAGAAAGACGTCAACCAAGAAGTACAGTTTTGCGGGGATCGTCGGAGAATTGAACCACCCCACCAGTCAAACTGGCAGACCACGTGAAACTACTTCAGGGGAGGCAATAGCGTCAACATGGCAATGATTGACGAGGTTCAGGACATCCTAATGTCGCAAGCTCTTCGGAATAAGCAATGTCGGAGGAATACGAGTCACTAATGAACATAGGAACCTGGGAATTGGTATAATATCCAAATGGCGTTAGACCACTGACATATCGCTGGATACTTCGGGAGAAGTCGAATAGGAAACTCTAAGCCAGACTAATTGCTCGAGGCTTCGAGCAAGAGGAAGGAGTCGACTACGGCGAAACTTTTACCCCAGCGGCCCGCCATGCCTCGATTAGACTAATTATAAGTTACATCGCCTCGAAGAAGCTGAAACTGGTGTCATTCGACGTGAAGACTGCGTTCCTGCATGGAGGACTGGAAGAAGAACTATACCTATACATGAAACAACCGGAGGGATTCGGAGATGGCACGAGAAAAATATGTAAACTAAACAAGAGTCTCTACAGACTCAAGCAAGCCCCTCGAAAACCGCATCTCGAAGAGCTAGGTATGAGTAACATCGACGATGACCTGTACTACAATTAGAAGAAGACCATACTGATGGCTCTATTCGTTGACGACGGACTCATCGCCGGCCAAGACGACGAAGAGATCTTTTAGATTTTGGACCGAACAAACAAGGTATTCGAAATAACCTTCAAGATTCATAATCACATCTCATATCTTGGAATGGCAATTGAAGTCAAACCGAATGGAATCCTCGTGATGTAGCCCAAGTACATAGCAGGTCGTTCTAAATGCCTTTTGTTTTCTTTATATCAATCCGTTTTCCAAACCATAGCTCGGCAGGGCATTCATCCTCCACTGAACTCGTTCCGGTCTGATTGATGGTAAACACCTAGTAGTTCACTGCTTCTGCCCAGAGGTTTTCATTGAGATTGTGTTCATGGATTTCCGATCTCTCTTTCTATCCTTCCATTTTGCTCAGGCGTATAGACGTTTGAGAAGGTGTGCATGACTCCCAAAAGGACCCGACAAACTCACGCGCAAATTATTTGAATATAGAAGAGGTCAAGTAGCCAAGAAGTACAATTATTTATATTGAACCTTTTTGACAGCCGCCTTTTGATTGTTAATTACAATAAACATTGTGAATAAATGAGCAACTGTCAATTAAATCGTATTTATTTGCAACTGACACCAACAAGTCATTTCGGGGCAATAACTTCATCAAACGTACTTTGCCCGAAACTACAACAAGCCTGGGATGGTCCATACTCGACGCATCAACGACGTTGTCTTTCCAATTCAGAAGGAACCTCGTGTTAAAACTAAGGTCGTCCATCTTTATCGACTCGTCACTGATCGAAAGGATTAGTTTTAGGACGGGTGCAATGCTATGTGCCGAAAACTCACCATACCTTGAGGGTTGTCTAGATCTTGTTAGTAATAAAGAAGACCAGATTCTCTAGATCCCACATTCTGGAATGGTTGCCGCAGTTTTCAATTCGAGTTAGAAGACGACAAAAAGTGAAATAAGAAGTGAAGAAGAAACTATAAAGTGCGCGTTATTGTGGGAAACTACTACTATTAATTAATTAATTAATTAATAATAGTAGTGTTTATAAATTAGTAAATAAATAAATTAGTTAATAGTGCGAAAGGTGTTTGATTACGTTTTCTTATTACTTATTCTTACGTATACAGTAAGAAAACAGAATTTCGAATACCCAAAAACCACTGGAAAAACAATTCCCTTAATTTTAACTTAGGCGCCACTTTGCCAAGCAAAGAACTACAAAACATAAAAATTGCATTAGGGTAGCAGAGCCAGTGTCTGAATCCACTTAACTAAAGACAGCTCGAGG